ACATTCTCAAGTAGGTTGGATGGATTTTGACTGAGTTATGAATTTTTTAATTTTTGATGAAAATAATCAAAAATGGGTTATTTGACCTAGTATAGGTTTTCACTCGGTTCTTACATTTTGTTCTGAAAACTAACATTGCCATGACATTCAGCATAGTCGATAACCTATGTTTCCATTCATTTCTGACGGGCTATGCTGCTCGTAGGTACTGATAATTATGTTCATCTGACGTTTCCCTTCCAGAGCCTCGCAGATACTGGCTGAAATCCGACAGCTATCTGGAAACTTCCCGGGTTCCTGACATAGGTTTCCTTAGATGCTGGATTATTAGTTATCCATTTCATCATATCTTCTATGATTAGTTGAACCTAGGAGCTTAGTCAGCGAAACTTTCTGTTTAGCATAGGTTTTTTCCGCCTCTAGTTTATATTATCATATTGTGAAGTGAGCTTCCTCTATCAAATTTAACATTTATTATTTACTTTTTATAATTTCTTTGTGTGTAAAGATGATGTTTAACTTTGTTTTAGTTATATTCTTCATATTATTGTGAATTTGTCTGATTTGACTCGGAAAGGTCGTAACCCAATATAAATCTAAAGCGCTTTCTGGATGTCTTATAACCGTCCATGAACTGTTAAAATATGTTTTATCGATTCTCTATATTCTAGAAGTTTCATTACTCGCAGATTTCTTTGATTTTTTTACGTTATTTTAAAAATATAGTATATTGATTATGTGAATATACTGTATAAAATTTTGTGTGAAATACTAAAATAAAATGTGAAATACTGTATTATTTCACGCTTTAAATAACTTTATGAACTGCTTTTATCAATATATATTGTTTAGTGTGCCCAAACACTAGCTTTGCCACCGTCAAAACAGTGTCATTGTCGAAGTATCTGTCAGTACCAATGTTGTTTATTGCTGAAGTGGCGGAACGATCAAGAAAATTGAGTGATGAGGTATTCCGCGATTTTGAATTATTTCTACCAAGAATATTTTTTGAAAACTCAAAAACTAGGCACCACACAAGATAATAATGATGAACTGAACAAAAATCTCAAACGAAAGAAGCGTCAAAAAAATATCCTTGTCCTCTATCAAAAACCTGAGGGAGAAAGTTTTCTTTCATTTTGTTCAACTTCATTTTGGTATTAACATTTTCGATATACCGAGTCGATGTCTATCAACATCTAACCGCCCATAACAGCGCCTTAGATCAATACAGATGTGGGAAGATCAGATCATGTAGATTTAGTAGTAGGAAAGGTAGACAACAGCCTCGAGTTGTTTTCTTTCAAAAAAACATGTGGAGTATGATTTCTCTGAGCCCCGTGTTTTGAACTGACTCCTCCTCCATCAACTGTTAGCCAACTTTTTCTGTAATTATACAAACAACACAGCAAAAAAATTACAGAAGAAAAACACTGGAATTTAACAAAAATTCGACACAGAGAAACAGTTTTCCAGATTACATTTAGGCTTTCTTTTCGTGTTTCTGTTTTTGTTGTGTATTTTTCGATGAGAATTTGTTGTATTTTATCTAGCATTTCCATTATGTGTATTCGATCTTCTGCATCAGCAAGATCGAGCGACCATGGAAATAATCTTGATGGAGATTTTGACATATTTGGTGGTGCATATCTTAAGACGGGTGTCACTTCGCTCGGATCATCGTTTTTAAATACAACATTAATAATTAAATTTTCATTTAATGTAGCCTTATAAAATAATAAACGAGTTCCGATGACACGAATAAGAAACAATGTAAGACACTGAAAAACAAAATAAAAATTAGAACTATTTTATTTGGCGTAAAAAGCCGTACGTCCAATATTTTAAATTCAGAGTAACTTAGACATAGTGTCAAAAAAAATTTCAGCGCGACCTGCCACCAGTTACTACCACTGATACAAACTCGTACCCAACCAGTGCCGATTGACACACGTGCCAGCCAGCGCTGTATTTCTGCCATGTATTTCTAAAAACTGCGATACTGACCGTTTTTTATACAGCTGCTTTTACTTAATTTTGTATTAATCAGAATGCGGTCCTGATAGGTATCAATCCCACATTGCCATACCATAATCATACGGTACTGCTTTAGCACTTCTCTTATGAGAAGAAAGAACTCAGGACAACCCAGTTAACTGGCAGTAAATGGTTAAAAAACGGCAAGTAAACCTTCAACAGAAAAGAAAGAAAAAAAGAGTAACAACGGTAGATGTAGGGATTGCACCTACGTCTTACAGATTAGTAGTCTGTGATGACACTCTAACCACTGAGCTTAGCTCGACTATTAGTATTTCCGTAAAATATGACAATTAAAGAGAAAAAACGGACAAGAAACGAATAAATCTTTTAAAATATATTAAATGCATCAAATAAAAATCACTGTTTTATAGGATTTTAATGATGCGCTTTTCGAATAAAGCATTTTTGGACCTAATCCAGATTAATAAAATCAACTTTTCGAGTTCCTTCTAACTGTTCTATAGAAATGTTTTAAGTGCAAAAAAAAGGCAGATTCACAGAAACGCACCTTCGTAAGGCTCTTTTCTTTTTTGAAACCTTTCCGAACTATTTCCAAGGAAAGACTTTGGCACTGAGTCGGTTTTCCATAAAAAATAAACTGATAAATGCGTTTACTTTTGACTTCTAATCTTCAAAACTTCGAAGAAATCAAAATTCAGCTGCTTCGTTTAACCACCACCTTGCAGCTTATTTACAGCCAGTTAAATGGCTTCTTTTTCTCAAAAACAAAAGTATAGCGAGCGAATGGCCACACACTACCACAGAAAAGGAATGATTTAAAAACTGTCTGATTTATTTATGCGCCAGTTCAGACGTCTTAATGATTCAGAATCCTATTAAAGAAAATTAACTGATGAATCATTATCTTTCGTTTCTGGCGCCGTTCTCACCGGTACGCGCGTTCATTGAAACCGTATCGTAAAAGCGCTTTTTTGACTTTTTTGGCTTATTCTACGCGCTGGAGCATGCGGACTTCAATTTTAATACTTAACATTTAAAAAGGTCCAAATAATGTTTCAACAATTTGTTTCAGTAAATTTGTCGAAAGATTAACTGACAAAAAAATACAGGGAGATTTTTTTTTGTCTTTCGTTCTTTTTTTCTTTCGTCCAAGAAATCGGTCGAGATACGCTACTGAAAAAATTTCTACTGAGGAACGCTAACTCCTACACATTTCACGTAGAAGGCAGCGCTTTTTAGTAGCAATTTCTTCAGTAGCGTATCTCGACTCATGAAATGAGATCTGAGGTGGTGACTATTTTTACTGACCGACCTACTTTATTGGCGAAATTTGATTGGTGTAACCATGGCATAGACCAATCAAATTTGGTCAATAAAGTCGGTCGATCAGTAAAAACAGTCACCACCAGATCGGATGATATTCAAGAATACATCAATTGAGACAGAAACGAAATGGCAACCAATGAAAATCATAATAAAATAGAGGTCATTTCTTTATTCATTTCATTTGCAATGGCGAAATTTTCATGAACGAGCAAATTAATGAAGGCTTATGTTGACCAGTTAAAAACATGTTGAAAAATTAAGCAGGCAGAAATTTGCGGCTATCTTTGTTTGTCCTAATATAAACTAGCAATAAACAAACTTCCTGTTATCTTTCTTATTTTTCTGATTAGTCAATGTGCCTGCCTATCACTATAAATCGATCTATAAATAAATTAGCAAGATCGGAGCTGAGAATTTCAGTACAGTAACAGAAAAATATTCTGAATCGAACTGTCGATTCAGATTTTCGAGATCTGCCCGCGGGTTTGCAACAGAGCTGGAATATGCAACCTTCCAAAATGCCACTATCGAGTGACATCTGGTGTGTTTGTAAAAAGAAGTTATTGTACTGTGCTTGTTTTTGATTGATAGTTATGTCATGGTTTTATTGGAAGATTGCTTTCGTTGTCTTTATTTCCTGCATTACTATGTGATAAATATGTGGTCTGATTTTAAACTTAGAATAATAGCAATATTTTGGATACCAAAAGTCCCCGAACCCCTTGCCTAATTTCATATAAGCGTTCGATTTAGCAACACTTTTTTGCTTCATATAAAGCTTATTTGATAAAGAATGCAAGAGAAAAGCGACAATCAGGTCGATCCTACTACAGTTGCATAGAGGAAAATGCGGAGAGCACTGTTGCTTGCAAAACGTTTTCAATGTTTTAGACTTCGGGTAACGAAAGCCCCGCGATCTTTGAATTTGTCTTTTCTCATGTGTTTAAATAAGACTGCTCCATCTAAGGATCTTTTTATTCTTCCTGTTCTTGTTAAAAAAGGGCTTCTAAACAGAGTCCAGTCATAAGCCATTATGCAAAATTTCGTTTATCACAGACTTTATTCTACTCAAAACTGTAGAACGTGTACACTCAAAACATAGAGCTTTAACTAATTTATTTTGGTGTACGTACGCTAGAGTTGTTAATGGACTCTAAAAATTGAATTCAGTCCATTTCACAAAACTTTTCGATTAATACATGTTCGTTTTATCTTGCAGATGAAATGAAAAACTATTTCTAAGCCGAGGTTCTTATGAAATCTTGTTCATCGAGTGCAAAAATAAGAATTTTTTTATAAATTTATAAAAATCAACAAAAATGTAAATAACGTTCAAAAATTATTTTGCTTCGACAAAATCATTTGAGTTCAGTCAATATAATTCGTATTAACCGATATTAGACAGTTAGCATTATTATATAGAACCTATCGTCTAGTCTTAAGATCAAAATGTGGTTTCGAATATTTTTCTTACGCTTTTACCAATACTCGAACGAGGTTATTTAGAGGGCAGGTACACTGTAATGTCGGGAATTATTTATACATAATGCTCGACGATTTTCAGAAAGTTCATATATACAAGGTAACGCTCGTCTCCACTCGCTCGGTCCCTTGACTTAAATAACCTGGATCTGCGCTACTGAACGCCCTTTCGTGACTTTTAAATCGAAGACAATGCTCACGCCTCCCTTCGGTCGGCGCTCGCTGGGGGCCTAACTAAGCCATCTTCTCGATGTTTTTCTGTTTTCATGTGTAAGGTTCGTAATCTAATATAAATATGCAAGGCAAAAAGTCCTAGAAGTCTAAAAATATTTCTGAACTCCGAGCAATGCTCAT